CACCAATTCCTCACAAATTCTTTCAAAAAACAGAAGAGGAGGGAACATTTCTCAGTTCATTCTATGAGGATCAAAAAGTGAAAAGACAATCCATGGGCTGGGAGAAAATCATATATCTGATTTACAAATAGTATATCTGATAACGGACTTGTATCTAGAATATATCAAGAATTCTTACATCTGACAATAAAAAGACAAACCGCCCAATTTTAAAATGGGCAAACGTCTTGAAGAGACATGTCTCCAAAGCTGAGATACAAAGGGCAAGTAAGTACATGAATCAATGCTCAATATCTTTAGTCACTTGGGAAATGCAAATCAAAACCACAATGAGATACCATTTGCCACCCATTAGGATGGCTAAAATGAAAAAGGCGATAACAAGGCTGGAGAGGATATGGAGAAAGAGAAACCCCCATCCATTGCTAATGAGAACGTAAAATGGTGCAGTCACTTTGGAAAACAGTCTGGCAGTTCCCCAAAAGTTTAAACATAGAATTACCATATAACTGTGTAATTCTGCTCCTAGGTAGATACCAAGAGAACTGAAAACACATCTTCATACAAAAACTTTCATTAATGTTCACTGGCAGCATTATTCATAATTGTCACAAAGTGGGCACAATCCAAATGTCCATTAACTGATGAATGAATAAACAAATGTGTTATATCCATATGATGGAATATATTATTCAGCAGTAAAAAAGAACAAAGTACTGACACATGTGGCAATGTGGATGAAACTTGAAAACATTATGCTAAGTGAAAGAAGCTAGTCACAAAAAGACAAATATTGTAAGATTCCACTTATAGCAAATGTCCAGAACAGGCAAATCCATCGAGACAGAAAGTAGACTAGTGGTTTCCAGGGCTGGGGTGGGCGTGGGTAATGAGGAGTGACTGCTAAGGGGTACAGCCTGTCTTGTGGAGGGCATGTAAATTTTCTGAAATTAATTCATAATTCTGTGAATATACTAAAAACTGAGTTGCACACTTCAAAGGCTGAGTTTTGTGGTATATGATGTTGTTAAGAAGATCCAGATACAACTCAATTCAGGAAACTCTTCTGTGACTTTCCTGAATAGCCGGCCTCTGCTTGAATACTTGCAATGACAACAGGCTCAATCTCACGTAGTGTAGATTGTTCTGGTTTAGGATAGTTATTTCGATTTTTTTTTCCCTAATCATTGAATTCCCCAGCACCTACCACAGTACCTGACACACAAGAAGGGCTCCCATAGTGTGACAAAATGCTGGATCAACATTTCATACTGATATTTATAAATGTAAAAAGCAAGTAACAGAACAGCATACTATATAACAGAACTTTTATCATGATCCCACTTATGTAATTTAAACATTTGCCTATTATACTTAATATATCTAATATTTATTTAATATAGAGAATATGTATCATATATAATCTTTCATATTCACGAAATATTTCTCAATGGATACTTGAAAATCTTTAAGTAGTTACTTCTGAAGGGTCTTGGGAAAAGAGAAATTGGTCTATTGGTTTAATGTTTTTCACCTTGAGCAAATATTTAATTTTAGAAAAAACTGCATTACTCATTTGGGTGCAAATCCCTGATAATCAATGCACTATGCATGATTTGGTTTCTTTTTTGTTGTTGTTTTTGTTTTTTGGCAGCTGGCTGGTTTGGAGATATGAACACTTGACCCTGGTGTTACCAACACCAAGCTCTAACCAACTGAGCTAACTGGCCAGTCCTGGTTTCTTATTAGTGAAGACTCCCCAAGAAAAGACCCACTGTGTTCTATGGCTAATGTGATATAGGCCAGTGTTCTCAAAGGGCTGTTGGAATGGGTATCTGAGGTTCCACTGATGACACTCTGACTACTATAACTGTCACTAAAGACCAGAGAGCCTGTCGCCAAGCTGCAAGCACCTTTCTCTCTTTACCTGAGTCCTGAGCTAAGGAACCAGAAACTCTCTTGGGCAACGCTCCCCCATTCTCCACTTTTTTTTTTTTTTTGCGTTTTATTTATTTATTTATTATTGATTTATATATATATATATATATATGGGGGGGTACAGAATCAAATGTCAATACACGTGTACAATATGTGGTGATCAAATCAGGATAATTAGTATACTCGTGTTTACAAAACATAATCAATCTTTGTGACCTTAATTAGTTTTCTCACCAATTGCCCTCTCCCTCCCCCCTTCTCACCTCTAATAACCACTGTTCTGTTCTTTTTCTTTTGGGAAGTTTAGTGTATTGTTGTGATTCTTTCTTTCTTTCTTCCTTCCTTCCTTCCTTCCTTCCTTCCTTCCTTCCTTCCTTCCTTTCTTTCCTTTTCTTTCTTTATTTTAGCTCCCACTTAACATAATTTCACTTAACATAATTTTCTCTAAGTTCATCCATGTTGCTTCAAATGGCAGAATTTCATTCTTTTTTATGGTAGAGTAGTATTCCATTGAGTATGTATACCACATTTTCCTCATCCAGTCATCTGTCAATGAACACACTCTTAGCTATTGTAAATAGAGCTGCAATAAACATGGGGGTGCAGATATTCCTTTGATAATTTCCATTCCTTCCCCATTCTCCATCTTAATCATCAGTGGCCAAGTCAGTATATAGCTGCAGCTCAAGGGCTGTGAGCTAATGGATCAAACAACTAATTAACCACTTGGCTTCCCCCCACAGACATGTACTATATGTCTCCTCTGTGCTGAGTTCTGTGCTAGACATGATGTTTGCCCACAAGAACTTCTAAACATACTGCAGAGTCTTTTAAACCCTGAAAGTTTAGGTCTCTGGTCTCAAAGGCCCCCTAGGAGGCCCACAACTTTAAAAATCTGCCCCCCAAATTCAAGACTCTTTAGAGGTGGCAAGAATTCTGGTACTAATAGCCAGTGTCAGAATAGCATAGCTAGCTGGTCCCAGACTTGAAATCTGATACTAATAGCAAGAATTCTGGTACTAATAGCCAGTGTCAGAATAGCATAGCTAGCTGGTCCCAGACTTGACATTTTTGAACTGGAAAGTACCTGATTCAATTCAACTTTATAAATGGAGCAACCAAGAGAAGAAGTGACTTGTTTAGGGTTGCATGATTAGGTGATAGCAGGATCAGTTCCTGAGTCTTAACCCCATTTGGGTTGCTCCTCTCCCAGCTCTGTGGGTTCCGACTTCCTCAGGTTACTTCTTGGACCAACTGCAGCCCCACTCCTCACCCACTCTCCATCACCCCCATCACCTAAGAATCACAGTGATTCTGTACACCGTCTTAAATAAGGCCTCCGCAGTCGGCGATGAAAGTGTCCATGGCTTTCTCTCTGGCTTCCCCCATGGGATTTCAGTGGTTTTTAACAACTGGTGATGGGGAGCTGGTGAGCAAAGGGTGACAGAGGGGTAGGGGTGGCTGGGAGCAGTGATTAGCTGAGACTGAGCTTGCACAGCAGCAAGAGGCAACAGTAAGGGTAACCCACATTTGGCACCCTTGCTCCAGTCCCACGATGCTGCACATGAGCATATGACTGTTTCATCTCAAAGGTTAATTCAAGCCTGCTTTCTGAATCTGCTCCAAAAGCGTCCAGACTCCTAGAGTGCCCTGGAATGGCAGCAGAGTGTGCTGGGCCAGGCCTCCCTCCTCTCCCCTCACATGCTGCATGAATCCAAAACTTCTTCCCTGGGACTAAAGGCAAAGGCAGTAGGAGGTTTGGAGGACACCTGATTCTTGTAAGAGAAAGAAAGAATGAGGGAAGGGGAGGGGGAGATAGAGTGGGCCAGAGCAAGAGACAGAGAGAGAGAGAGAATTCGTTTATGATTATTCGTTATCTGATTGTCCAGTGCCCAAGGTCACTGTGTAGCCTAGAAAAGCAATTGTCACTTAATTAGCCTCTCCTCAACCACCTGTCTCTGCTCAACACTAACAATTATCCCTGCTCTATTTTAGAAGCCATTCATAATTATGACTACAATGCTACAATGCAAATATGTTACAAAGTAAAACTGAAAACCTTGCAAACCACATGGAGTTTAATGGAATCAATTCAAGGCTTGTTAGAGCACAGAACTTCAGGCTGCCCACTGGCTAGTGAGGATCAAGAAGCTAGACCAGTGGAGAGACAAAGAAGAGAAAATCACCAGGAAATGACAAGATACCTAAAGTGAGAATAATTTGAATACAAAAGATTAGAAGAGGCCCTTGGGTTAACTGGTTATGTTTTGGTATATTTTTGCAAAAATTAGGCTTTTAAAGATAGTACTGAAAAGTCAATCGCAAAACAAAGGATGTCTCATTGTGCTATTGTAAATTTTGTCATCACAAGCAAGTCAGAAAGTCAACACTTCTTTTATTGTATGTTTATTCTAAGACTTAATGCATAGTTGCAATACTATTCTAAGTATTCTTGACTAACAGGTGAAAATAAACTTTGTTTCATAATCTCCAGTTTCATTTTAAAGGTAAGGTCCCAATCAAACTTTTTTTGCCATGAAATTTTACACCCCTGCTTTAGGTGGATTTATTTACCTTATGTGTCCTTTCTCTAATGCCAATCGTTCCTAGATAATAAAGACATCCTGAAGGTTCTTCTGTCCTTGGCATAACTGCCACCTCTCTGAACTGTACACTCTCAGCCATGGTCACAGGATGGGTAGTTATGGAAACACACAGTAATAGTGATCTAGTTAACATTACTGAGCCCTTTTTATGTATCAGGCACTGTTCCAAGTGTTCCATGAGCATTAACTCATTTAGTCCTCAGAATAACACTATAGGATAGATGCCATTCTCCTCCTCCTTTGACTGATGAGGAAACTGATGCATGGAGAAATTAAATAACTTGCCCAAGGCCACACAGCTAATAAGTAGTGGAAGGCAGGTGCAAAGCCCCCACTCTTTTCCTTGATGCATGCATGTACTGTGTGCATTTGGACTTGACTTCCTGAGGGAAGGAACACTGTTTCTCCTTCAGGAAGAAAAGATGCTTCTGGGACTGTCCCTAAGCCCTGACTCACCTGGCCGTGTTCAGGTTCCGATAGAGCTGCCCGAGGGACTCCAGCAGCCTCCCCTCCATCTCCCGGTCCCTGAGTTGCTGAGCCAAGACAAGCCAGTGTTCATGGTACGTGATGCATGCCTCAGGATTTGGGGACACAGAGCTGTAGAAATGGCAGAGGGATTTGGTAACCTGGAGCTGACCTGAACATAAAGCAGGGACATGAGTGAGATGACTTGAGATAGGATATGGGCAAAATGTGCTCCAAAGCTTTTCTCTAAAGCTTCCCAGCAGCACAGGACATACTTACTCTTTAGGTGTCGATGCTTTAAGCCAAACAGCAATGCCATTTCATAACAAAGGCAGCCATGGGTCAGCTGGCGTCCAGACACCAGAACTTGGGCCAGCCAGAGAAGCACCTGTACTAATTCCATGTCCGTCTCCTTGCTGGTCTGCAGTTCAGAATAGAGTCGAACAGCCTGCAGGAGATAGTCCCTGGCCGGCTGCTGAGCCCAGGACTTAAGGGTCAGGTGGCCAAGATTGGCCATTGTCACTGCCTGGTTACGCACATCCCCCACCTCCCTGGCTCTGTTCAGGGCCCAGAGATAGCTCTTGGTTGCCCTGTTTAGCCGGCCTTCACTTTGAAGTGCAAGTCCCAGGAGGTTATGGACCACTCCCCTTTGGGTGACATTCTCTGTCCCCTTCAGGGAGCAAGACAGTGGCTCAAGAATGTCCAAAGCCTCCTTCGCCTGGCTGGCTAAGAGATAGGCCCATGCCAGGCACAGAGAAGACTCAAAGGCTTCCTGCTCACCCAGCAGCCGCCCCAGCACCAAGGCCTGGCTCAGGTAGTAGATGGCACCATCAGGAGACCTGTGTTGGAGGTACACTTTGGACAGGATGAGACACAGGGCCCTCTGGGTGCTATGGTCTGCCTGTTCCTCACAGGCAACCAGTGCCTGCCTGAGAGCCGGACAGGCCAAGATGGAAACGTCTCCCCAGTTTGGGGAGGGAACACGAAGAAGCTTGGAGGCATTCTGGAGGACCAGGTAGGCCTGCCAAATAGGAAGAGACATCCCTTGGGCACTCTGGGTACCACGTTGCTGGACAGAGGCCACTGCAAGGTGTGGGAGATATTTCTTGTCATATAGATAACTCAAGATGGTGGCCACAGCCTCCGAGGCAGGAGGGTGTCCAGAGAGAAGCTGCAGGCGTTCAGCGAAGGGCAGGACCTCCTCGTGTCGGCTGAGGCTCAGGAGCGATCGTATGGCCAGAAAGCAGGCCCTGGCCTCCAGGGGGCTGCTGACAGCCACAGGCAACCAGTGCCTGCCTGAGAGCCGGACAGGCCAAGATGGAAACGTCTCCCCAGTTTGGGGAGGGAACACGAAGAAGCTTGGAGGCATTCTGGAGGACCAGGTAGGCCTGCCAAATAGGAAGAGACATCCCTTGGGCACTCTGGGTACCACGTTGCTGGACAGAGGCCACTGCAAGGTGTGGGAGATATTTCTTGTCATATAGATAACTCAAGATGGTGGCCACAGCCTCCGAGGCAGGAGGGTGTCCAGAGAGAAGCTGCAGGCGTTCAGCGAAGGGCAGGACCTCCTCGTGTCGGCTGAGGCTCAGGAGCGATCGTATGGCCAGAAAGCAGGCCCTGGCCTCCAGGGGGCTGCTGCCAGCCACAATCCCCTGGCGCAGCACATAGGCCACCACATCAAGTTCATTCTTGGCACTGGACTCATGGTCGGGCAGGCAGGCCAGCAGGACACCTGCCTTGTCCAGCAGGGCCGAGCCTTTATGCCTCAACCTCTGCCGCAGGTAGATGGCGGCCAAATTGATGTACAGGGCAGCAGCCAGGGAAAGGTCCTCAAATGCCCCATTGAGAACATGGATGGCCTCCTCAAAGTACACCCTGGCCTGGGAGAGTTTGACTTTCCTGACGCTCAGCCTGCCCAGGAGGAAGCAGAGCCGGGTGTGGGCCCAGGTCCGGTGGCTCCTCTTGGCCCACTTCCTCGAGGCCTCCAGGTAAGCCACAAGCTCGTCCTCCTCTGAAAAGCTATAAAAGGAAGAAGTGAGGAAGGAGAAAGAGGAATCGTAGAGGCTCTTAAAGTTGTCGGTGTAACCCTCATGATCCAGAAAAGCCAATATGGGAGCAAAGTTCCCAGCCTCCTCCTCCTCCTGACCAGTGCTAAGGTCCATGAACAGCTCTGGGTCATCGAGGTCATCAGGCTCTGGCAGGTGATAGCTGTCCGAGGCGGCTGAGAGGAGCTCCTCCTCTGGGCTGGAGTCCTCGGAGCTGCTGGACTGTCTGGAGCCCACAGCCTGACGTTCCTCCCAGGCTCTGCCAGGCCTGGCCTCCTTAAAGCCTTCGGTCTGGGATGCTGTAAGGACACGCAAAGTGGAGCCACACTGAGCACCTGCAACGAAGGTCGTCACTCTTGGCAAGAGGACAAGAGTGCTGCCCTCAAGACCTGGAAGCCAGGCTCAGCATGATCTCTACTCACCACTCAGGTCATTCGAAAGGTTCTGGATGGATTCAAACCCACCTGAGTAGGGATAAAGAACAGACCTGACATTAGGTCAGAATGCGCCACTGTGCCTACACCTCCAGGTATACCCCAGACCAGTGGTCCCTTAGGAGACTCTGCTGAAGTTTCAGACTATCTGTCATCATTAAGGAATGGGACAAATTCCCCCCTTTATCATCAGTTTAAGAACTGCAGGGACCCGATCATTTTGTTTATCCCACTCACTTTATAATTGGGAACTGAGGTAGAAGTGAGACCCAGAGTCAGAAAAGAAAAGCTGGAAAAAAGCTCTGTGCCAAGAGGTGTGGGTGTGGGGGAATGATGGAATCTGAAGACCAGAGAGATGTGGTTCCCAGATCTCTCAGAAAGTTTATGATGGGGTGGGGACAGAATTCCACCTGGGGGCACATGGCACTGCCTCCCATTTCTGTGTGTATCACATTTTTCTGTCTTCCATCCTCCATCATTCATCATCTATCTCCTCGACAGATGTTAATCTAAAGCGCACGATGTTCTGGACACTGTGCATTGTACAAGTGGCAGGACCAAGTAGCCAGAAGTCAATGGTGAAGAAAAAAGAGCAAAGATGCACAGAAGTTTCCCAGTTTTGTTCCCTGAAGCAGCTTAGTGGGATTAGGTGGAGGAAGGGACAGTCTTGAGTACGGTTTTAAAGGTTTTGAGTTTGAGGTACTTGCAGAAGATCTAGATAGAGAATGAAATAGGTCTGGACCCAAGAAAAAAAAGTGGAGACTTTACAAACACAGATTTGTGATCCACAGTAGATCACAGGAGCTGGCCAAAGTCCCAGGACTGAATGTGGATCACACAGGTGAAGCATTTGGAGGAAAGAAAAAGTAAAGCAGGGGATGGGAGGGGGTTTGTTAATGAGCCTGAAGAACGTCAGCATTTACAGCAGACAGTAGCCAGCGAAGGAGACTGAAAAGGCAGTCAGAGAGAAAAGAGGAGTCACAGAGGCCCAGATGACTAACAATACAGCCACCTACTGTCACAAAACAAGAATGAGTAAAAACCGAGAAGACACCTTGGGTTTGGCAGCAAAGAACTGAAGACTCCTGGCTAAAGCAGCCACAGTGGAGTTATCTAAAATCAAAGTGAAATGCTGCCAATCAAATATGATCCAGGTCATCAACTGAATAAGGGTCATAGCACAAATTCACAGCTGGGCTAGAATATAGAGGTATTCTATTCCTGGTCAGGGACACTCTCTTAATCTTGAGGAACCTGGGTTTTCATTGGGGTCTGAGGATCAAGCACTCACTAAGTCGGTAGACAGACGTGATGTCAGTATGTGCAAGTGTGCAAAGGAAGCTAACACACTCAGCTTTACTGTCGCTTCCCAAAGCCCACAAGGAGCATCTTTCCTCATCACTGAAAAAGGCAGAGTTCTTGCTCCTGCATCGAAACAAAAACATAGAGATAGATCAGTGCAAGGTTCCAGACTTGACCTCTTCTCTCCACACTAGGATGTAACAGGGGATGTAGAGAAGCCACCAACCCCTTTGCCCATGGCTCAAATCTCATGGTTGCATACTGTCTTTAAACTGTCAAGGAAGAAAAACTATTAGCACCTCATGCATGGAAAACTGAGCTGTGTGGTTGCCAAGTAGGTCAAAGTGGGAATGAAAATGCCCCTCCTATTAAAGCTCCATCTCCCCAAAAAACAAAGCTCCTTCTCACAACCCATACCCATTCTTTGAGACCACGTGGTACCCATTTTTAATGGGAGAAATAGTAATTGCTTGCCACAAATGTTAGAGTTGGAAAGGAACAATTAAAAGGAGTTTCTTTGTCATACCCATTCTTTGAGACCACGTGGTACCCATTTTTAATGGGAGAAGTAGTAATTGCTTGCCACAAATGTTAGAGTTGGAAAGGAACAATTAAAAGGAGTTTCTTTGTCCTTAGGTTATTTTGGAAAAAGTTAAGAGACAAGTGACACAATCTAGAGAAACTGTGAAGAAATTTTCACTGTGGTCAGAAGGAATCTTTCACAATTGTTGAGATCTGATTCCATGACATAGAACAACAGCAATATGTAATATTAAGAGATGAAAGTGGGTGGGAGAATCAGAGACTAAAAGAAATTATTGTAAACCATAGAGAACTTTATACTTACCCTGTTTATAAACTAATTGTGAAGACTAATTTGCTTACTAGAGATCTGTCATAGAATTAAAGAATTTGAAAACTAGAAATCCCTTAGAAACCAGAAGTTCAGAAGAATACAGTCCAGTGTCAATCTGAACAATTTTTAAGCTCTAAATAAAGATATTTTTTTTACTTCAAAACCCTTTTTAAGAACAAAATTAATTTAGAAGCCTAAGAGTTAATAATAATAGGTAATACTTATGGGGGGCTTATGATGAATCAGACACTGTTATTTCATTTAATCCACACCATTGCCCTATAAGACAGGTACTATTCTTATCTCTTTTTTACAGATGAAGAAACTGAGGCACAGCAAAACAAAGTTGGTGATTAGGGAATGGTAGAACAGGATATAAGACGCTTCTTGTCAGAGAGAGAACACCACCAGCACTGTTTTGCACCCTCCCGCCGTGCTGACTCCTGCTCAGCCTCATTCCTTGACTTCGCTGAGCAGTTACACCTTAACCTGAGGGCAAGTGTAAAGGGAATGTAGGTTCAGGGTTGAGTGATTTATTTCTGCAGATGGCGTCTGTGGTCTAAGCACTAAAATCACAAGACCTCCGCCTCATGGATCACAAGATAACTGGTAAATGATATTAATGCCTTATTTTTTCTTAAGTCGTTTCCTTGAAGTTATTCTTAGTAACAGGGGCTTTGCTACGATAAACATTGTCTAACCTCAGAGAGTCAGAGCTCTCAGCTGCCAACATCTAATTCTTCACTGCATCCGGCTTTCCTGCTCTGTAAGTCACCCCGATTAATAAATATCTCTGATTACTGAATGGACCTGCCTGCTTTCTTCTTCAGTCTCAAAGTACCTTCTCAATTTGAAGGGCATTATGCTTTAACCCCCTCCTCACACACTTCTCTAGTTACAGCAAGGTTCAGAGAGGGGCTGGGATGCGAGTGCTATGGTCAGCCACTTACCATTTGTCTCCATAGCTCAGACAGATGCAGTTTGAAAGCCCGTGATGAGACAACTAGCAGCTGTATGAACTGCTCAAGGTCACATCACTAATTAGTGGCAGAACTGGCACTTACATAAGGCCAGGGATCTTCCCACCACACTTAATTAGCCCCATCTGTCTGGCCTGACTTCCAGAGTCTCCCCAGCACCGTGAAAGTTTCCAGCCCCAAAACAGCATGTTCTGGACATCTACAACTAAATTCAGTTGGGATAAAAAAATAATATTTGGTCCCAAATTTTTGTGGAACTCTTAAATTTTCCAGAGTATTCCTAAATTTACTATTTCATTTACTCTTCATAAAAATCCAGTGATGTGGGTTTTTACAATTCATGTTTGCAGATTAACAAAATAGTTCAGAAAGGTTCAGTGACATGCTCAGAATTGCACAGCTTGAAAGTAGTAAAGCTGAGACCTAAACTGAGATCTTCTGTCTCTGCATCCATTGCCTTACAGTGGATCTGCTAGTGTCCTGAGTCCTGGGTATTTAGAGAGTCCAAGAAACTGGACAAATTACATTAAGAATTTCCAAACATGAAAATTTAGTTAGAAGAATATGGCAAAGCTTCTAGCAATACGGTAGGCTGAAGTGTTCCTAAAGGGACTACTCTCCTCCGTATACACAGAAAAGTCCTGGGTAAAATGTAACAAAGACGAATATTTTAATACATGCTTCAACTTGAGAGAAAGAAAGGAAAATCCCTGGGAGCCAGGAACAAAAGGATAAAGCACACCCAGGTTGGCAGGTGAGAGCAGATGGCCCAGAGGACCTGGTGGTTTCAGCTGGGACATTGACTCTCAGAGCTGGGCTGACCTTGTAATGCTCCTTGAGAGACAGGAGATGTGTTTTTGAACCTGTGTGAAGCAGGGAGCTGAATTAGGCTCCCTACATAAAGCCTGGAGTCTGGAAGGGCAGCAACTTCCATAAAGAGGGGATTGGAAAACTTCTTATTACCTGCCAAGAACACACCTTCTCTCTCTTTGAGACCCTGGGAAAAAATCAAACAACTAGGCCTATACCATTACAAGGTGTGGGATCTAAACTTACACTGCACAGTGCAGGTATCACATTCTGAGAACTTAACATTAAAAAATCAGTCCTGGATCATGAGTTCCTAAGGTTCCAGGAGAAGCAAATGCAAAACTTACTCCACAAGGAGGCTCTCTGCAGTCAGGATTCATGCAAAGTCCATCTTTTAAAATGTTGAAAATTAGTTCACATAACAAGAAATACAAACCACACAAGAAAGTCAGCTACTCACAAAGAGAGCCAGCAGTGCATAAATAGATAAACTAACACTACAAAAATTAGATATGACAATGATCTAAAGAATAATCTATCATAAGCATGGTTAAAATGATGAAATAAAAAGAATGAATAGAAGCTACAATGAAAAGATGGAGCATTGTGGGGGGAAACAACTGCATGTGAAAAATAGCAAAATACAAATTCTAGAAATGGAAATTAAGGACTACATGGGTGGGTTAAACAGAAGATTTAGTCATAGCAAAAGAGAGAATTAGTGAAACTGAAGATCATTTGGAGGAAATCACCAGAATTTAGCCTCGAGTGACAAAAAGATGAAAATATGAAAGAAATGATTAAGCAAGATTGAGGATAGAATAAGTTCAACATACCTCTACCAGGAATTCCTGAAGACAGACTAAAAAGAATGAGAGAGAGGCAATATTCAAGGGAAGAATGACTGAGAATTTTCCAGAATTGAAGAAAGATATGAGTCTTCAGATTGAAGAAACACACCAAGTCCTGAGCAAAATAAATGAAAATAATATCATTTTAACATGATGTCCATTTCTTAAAGGTTGTATGTCTTTTCAAGTTATCTATTTCTCCTAATCCTTCTTTCTGGGTTCAGTTACTCTTTACTTAACTATTCAATTTCATGTGATGAAAGAATTAAATATAAAAGACAACAATCATTTTAACATGATGTCCATTTCTTAAAGGTTGTATGTCTTTTCAAGTTATCTATTTCTCCTAATCCTTCTTTCTGGGTTCAATTACTCTTTACTTAACTATTCAATTTCATGTGATGAAAGAATTAAATATAAAAGACAACAATAAATTAATAAAATTAAAACGAAGGAGAAAAATAATAAAGGTAAATGCTATAATTAATAAAATAGAAAACAAAGAAACAATAAAGATGGTCAACAAAAGAAAAAATTGGTTCTCCAAAAAGACTATTAAAATAGACAAAACCCTGACAAAATGGATTTGAAATTTTATATTAATAGTTATTTTTTCCTCTACACTTTGAAAATGTAATTCCGTACCTAGCTAAATTATCACTTAAGAGTATATTTTAAGTATATTTATGTCAAACAATGACTTAGGACTAAGAGTAGTTATAACTCACAGATCTCTATTGAAATAACTACTAAACGATGTATGTTATAAAGAAGTGGACAATTTTCCATAAATATGTAATAGAATATATCACATCTAGACAAATCATAGTACAATTAAAAAACATCAACGATAAAGAGAAAACCTTAAAAAAACAACCAGTAAGAAAAAAACTGCCTCTCTGCAAAAAAAGGCTATGAGACAAACAGCAAAATTCTCATTAGCAAAAACAGATGCCACGAGAAATGGAATTACAAAGAAGACACAGACAAACAATATGAAGGATAAAGAGGGGATATAACAAAACATAGAATTTTTGAAATTTTAATGCTATGAAGTACTGTTCTTTGTCCTATGTCCTTTGTTCTGGTTTTGAGTGCATTAATTTATCAGTCTTGCTTATTTTTTAATTTAGGCATTTAAATATATAAATTTCCTTTAAGTAACACTTTATTAAAACGAACTATATCTATTACAACGTGAATAAATCCTAAATTTACAATATCAACTGGAAAAAAAAAGGCCAGTTGTAGAAAAAAAGTTATACAAAATCTTAAATACACAAAATCATAGTATTTTTGTTTATGAACAAATACCTGTCATTAAAATATATCAAAATAAGGATGGGAGAGACACATATCAACTTCAAACAGCATTTGCCTCTGAGATAGAAATCAATAACAGAAAATAAAAGTAGGAAGGGGTAATGAGGCATCTTCAGCTGTATCTAAAATATTTTTTTTCCATTAATACATACACACATACACAAACACACACATCGTATATTTTTGAAAGCATAAAACATTTTTTAAAAACAAGAAGGTGTGGCATTGTCACCCTCAAAAGCTCTGAGATCCCTCAATTCTATGGGGAAACCCAAATTCTGACCAAATGCAAATTCGATGTCTATTTGGACAAAATGCCTGCTAAAGTTTGAAGAACTGGTTTTTCAGCAGCTGTTGCTGCAAAATTAGGTAGGTGGTATTAAAATCTGTGCAGCGAAAAAAAGGAAACCAACAAATTTGCTTCCATGGACTAGCAGGAACCATTTCCCATGCCTCAGAGGTACAGACTAAATTTGACTCTGAAAACAGTTTCTGGAGAAATTTCACTCTCTGTAGACTGCGAATTTAGAACACACACACACACACACACACACACACACACACACACGCA